ACAGATTGGCCACTAAATTCACCACTCTTGGATTTTCCCTTATTTTTACTAAATACTTTTTTTTAAGGAATAAGCCATCTTAATTAATCAATCAATACAAAGTGAATAAAACAAACAAAACTATAATATTAAAACTTAAGAGTTAGAACGAGTTTACCGAATTGACAAATAGCTTGTTGAAAATTAATTATCGTTGAAGACTTGAAGACTTCAATTCATCAACTTCACAATTTTGCACAAATTGTAATAATAAAGTAAGCAATTATAGAAGAAAATTAGAGAGAGATTGATGATTTTGTGAAAAAAATAAAAGAATGAGGGGGTATTTATAGTTAAAAATAGGAAAAAAGTGTAATTATAAAAAGTTTGGGGTTAAAATAAAGTTGGGGGAGGGGTTAAATGGCTATTTTATAAATAGCCAACGACTATTTTGGCAGGTAAAACGACCATAATTTAAATGCCATAACGGCTATTAATTAGAAAATACAAAAAGTTCCTTAGAAGTGATGAATGGCAAATAAGTGGGTCCCATTTTTTTGGAAAGCAAAATCCTTTCTATTGCCAATCCAACTCCAGCTGTTTTTTTTCCTTTCCTTTTTTTCTTTTTTCTTTTTTGAGTTTTTCGATGTTTCCACTCTTTTCTGTGGCAGATTTTGTTTTTTAAAAAATTTAGCCGTTGGGCCCGGATAGGCATGTTTTGGACCGCTTGAACCGGCCCACTTCCCAGCCGGTCCCGGTCCCAACCGGTCCCGGTCTCGCGGGCCTCGCTTATGGGACCGACCCACTACCTAGCCCACCTCCCCACGGTCCCGGTCCTATCCAATTAGGACCGTTTAGGCCCACCGCCCTTTTGGGCTTGCGGTCCTGGGCCGGGCCCGGTCCTAATCGGCCCACATGCCACCCTTAGTGCAGACGACTCTGAAATGGAATTTTGATGGTTCCAATAGCTCTGTATGATGATTTTGGTCTCAGGAGCGTGTCCGAATGTTGATTTGGAGGTCCGTAGGTCGTTTCGGCATGAATTGGCGAAAGTTAGAAAAATGGAAGATTTTGGAAAGTTTGACCAGGAGTTGACTTTATTGATGTCCGGGTTGGATCCCAGTTCCAGAAGTTGGAATAGGTTTGTACTATCATTTATAACTTGTGTGCAAAATTTGAAATCAATCGGAGTTGGTTTGGTATGAATCGACATTAGTTTTGGAATTCTGAAGTTCATAAGTTTCTTATGCTTGAATAGATGCGCAATTCATGATTCTAGTGTTGTTAGAGGCAATTTGAGACTTCAAGCAAGTTCGTATCATATTTTGGGACTTGTTAGTATACTTGGTTGGGGTCCCATAGGGCTCAGGTGAGTTTCAGATGGGTTTGGATTATGCCACACTCTTATTTAATGTTTCGACGTCGTTTCTTTTGGCATAAAGGTTATCACATTGTGCAAACGACCTTTGATTTGTGATTCTATTTAATCATCAGATCCGTATCGTTATTACAGAACCATAGCAACAAGAATCGTCGCATTCCGAGGGCGTATGAGAGAGTTATGCCCATTTTCGTATCGGGAAAAACTGTTGTTTTTCTCGTGTTTGAGGGAACAGAGGAAAATTGCAGGTGTCAAATGCGATTTATAAGTCTCAGGTGTCAAATGCAATTTATAAATCTCAGGTGTCAAATGCGACTTGCCTGGAGAGGTTTCTAAAAACGGGGGTTTCACCATTTTTATCATATTTTGAGTTACAGACTTCAGATTTGGGTGATTTTTTAGGGGTTCTTCACGTGGTTGTTTCACTCGAGAAGGTCATTTTAGAGTATCGGTCTAGCTTTTTTGAGGTAAGTATCTTTCCTAACTTTGTGTGGGGGAACTACCCCTTAGGATTTGAGTCATTTGAGATAATTGTGTCATGTGAAGGCCATGTACACGAGGTGTCGCCTACGTACGTACTAGGGATTATTTGTGGAAATTTGACCGTTTAGGGCTCTTAGGTTCTTATGTTCATTAGATGTGAAGTTTTTTTAGCATGTTAAATCCTCCATTTACTAAATTCACCCTTACGTGTCTTATTTGGAATCGATTGATTCATATTCTACCCTTGTAGCCAATTAAACTCTTATGTGCCTTAATTGAAGTTGTTGCCTCTTTATTGTCTTATTGTATTTCCCGTAGTTGCTTTACCTTAATTGAAGTTATTATTATTTCTTCCGTAATTGCTTAACCTTAATTGAAGTTTTATTATCCCTTTCATTGTTGGCATATTTTTACTTGGGGTCATTGATTCATGCTATCTCTCTTATCGTCGAATTGCACTCTTGTGGAATCATTGTTACACATTATCCTTCCCTTGTTGAGCTATTCTTTTTGAGACCATTATTCCTTGTTGTGTCTTTCTTTGTGAGCTCGTTCTTCCGTTTCTTTGTGTTCTGAAGTTCTTGTGTTGATTTACTTGACGTACTCTTGTGTTATCGTTGTTGTTGTTGTTGTTGTTGTTGTTGTAGTTGTTGTTGTTGTTGTTGTTGTTGTTGTTGTTGTTGTTGTACTCAGTGTTGTTGAGTCGAGGGCTATGCGTAGCTGTGGTATTGAAACTGTTTTGAGGAAATATTGTGGCATGTGGGCACATGTTGTAAAAGTCATTTTATTGTGTTGTTATGTTTTGGCACACATGGTTTTATTGAGAGGATTATCGGGGTGTTCGCACGTGAGTTGTTCATGTTGTTGTTATTATTGATATTTGCACATGCGGCGTGACAAGACGGGCTATACATGTGGGTTTGCGCATGTGGCGAGACAAGGTGGGAATATTATTGTGCGTGTGCGGCGAGACAATGCGGGCATTTATCTTATTATTGAGCACGTGGCGAGACAAGGTGGGCTATGTCGAGAAATGATTTGTGATGACTTGTGATGGCCTGGGGGCATTGTTATTGTTGATATTTGTGTATTGGTGTGCCTAACTTGAGTGAGTTATACCTTGTACATTTTGTGGTGATCGTTTCTTAAGTGACATTCATTGTCTCTACTCTTACTTGTTGACTTGAATTGGGATAGAACACTTGCACAAGCATACACGTAATTAATCACCCATATCGGTTTAAGAAGATGAATCCTGATGTTATTGACCATTTACATGTACTTCCGTTTACTTGCCTTCTGTGTGAGAGTTGTTCTATTGGCACGTGAGTTGTCCGTGTGGTCATGAATCATTATTATTGTTGGCACGTAAGTTGTCCGTGCGGATATTTGATATTGTCACTCTCTTGGCACGTGAGTCATCCGTGCGGTTAGGAATTGTAATGTGGGCACAAGATGTCAAGTGGTTAGGGTTCACAAATTAGGACCCGTGAAATGTGACTATGAGGTGAAGTACCTCGGGGAAATCTTTCAACAAATCGTGTGTGGAAGCGGTTGCTCCTATTGAATTATTACTTGTTCCTTTTACTTGGTTTCACCAGACTTTAACTGTATTCAGCTTACTCCACGATGTTATTACCTGTTTGTTTTCCTGCTGCTAATTGTTGCTCTTAGTTTCCTATTACAAGCACTGTTTGGTATTGTTATCATGCTTAGTTTTATTCTGATATTGTCCATTGTTAGTTTCACATTTATACTTGTACAGGTTATTTGATCTAGTAGGTGTCTTGACTGTCCCTCGTCACTACTTCACCAAGGTTAGTTTTGATATTTGTTGGGTACCGCTGTGGTGTACTCATGCTACGCTTTCTACATATTTTTGTGCAAATCCGTGTACTACGGAGTTGGTTGATCATTAGCTAGCCGTTCGGACTTTGCTGTGGAGACTCAAGGTATACTTGTCGTCGCGTTCGCAGGCCTCAGAGTCACCTTATGATATTGTACTGTTTATTTTTATTCTGAAACAGTTGTACTTAGAAGACTTTCTAGTAAACTCAGTAGAGCTTATGACTTGCACTACCGATTTTGGGATTGTAAGCTTTGTATAGAAAATTCATGTTCATGTTTAATAGTTTTTGGTTGAGTTTGCCATTAATTTAGTAAGTGTTAGGCGTACCTAGTCCCTAAGATTAGGTGTCATCACGACATCCTACGGAGGAAAATTGGGGTCATGACACTTAATTAAGTATGTTTTTTAGATTAAGCTAAACAAATATCCATGTAGACTGTCACATGATAGATTTTAAAAATAATTTGGAGCGTGTATTATACGCACTAGTAAGAATGCGACGACGGGGTTTTATTATTAAGAGGGATATAATTCAGGGGATTTTGGGGGACATGAGATAGTTTAGGTAGGCAACTGACAAAGGCCGTATAGTTTAGACGGATTGTAAGGTATTAACTCTAACTTTTAAGGTTTTTGCACAAATCTTTAAAAAATGTTTAGTAGAATTACTCAAAGGAGTATTTGTCTAAGCTCTTCGTTATTTATTTTTAATGCTCTCAATTAATACTCCGCTAATTGAAACAATAAGAATTGATATAAAAATGGCAGCAAAATGATTTTTTCTTAATTATTGACTCTAATATTCTCACATTGCTAAAACCACTAAGAGGAGAGGTTGTGTTATTATTGACATAGATTCGCTGAATTCTAACTTCAAAGAGATTAATTCTCATTTCTTATAATCTCAATAATATACTATTAATATTGGTTGGTTCAAGATTTTCATAATAACCTCGAAAGTGTGGCTTAATTCAGAGAACCAAGAAGAAAACCAGGGTGGCAGCGGTCTTATTGTCTAGTATTGCATTCTTTATTTTAACACAAAACTCAAGTTGAGGAATTTTTAAAGCACATCTGTTTCAAGATGGCAGCTTAATTTACGTGCATACTGAGCCTGGTGAACTTAAACAAAATGAATAGACAGGAAAAAATTATTTACCATCTAAGTCAGCCCTTTTGAATGCAATAAATCAAATCCAACAATGTCATGTTGAAAAATGTTTTTCAAGAAAGATTCTAGCTTTTCTTTTTACATCAATAGAGGAATGATTCCCTCTAAAACCACGTACTATTCTTCCCCAAAAGAAGGATCAAGAATCTCGCAAAAGATTTATTAACTAGATAAGAACAATTTGAATACTAAGGTACAAGGACGGGACCAGGCTAGAAGACTCTCAATCGTTCCCATCATCTTAAATGCTTGATTTTTCTTTGGAAACTGAATCAGCACAGCCTTTCATTTTTACTATATATAATCTCTCAACTTGTTTGTCACTGAAAATCTTGCTTAAAGAGAGAAATTACAATTAACAAACAAAAAATGTCTTACTTTTCTGAACTAAGATATCTATGAGGTTCAAATTTTACTTCCGCGTGTGCCTCTGCTTCCATGATGCACCAGAAGTCAAGAAATTAAACTGAATAAGGCAAATTTTGGGAAGCCACTTATGAAAAGTCTATAAATTTAGTGTTTGTCTTCTGTTTGCTGTATGTGAGGAGGACTTTCTTTCCCTATTAGCAAACCACTTGACTGTTCTCCTTGCAATTGGAAGCCAAAGCTTCCTTCTCCGTTCCGAAAGCTTTCTATTACCAATGTTGTTGCTGTTGAATCTTGGATGCACTATAATTTCTGACATGCATCTTTTCTCATTTTGACTTAGTGATTTTGATGAATTGGTTCTTGATTCTGAGGCTTCTGGAAATTGAGATAAATCATTTTGCTGGAATTTGCTAAACTTGCTCTCAAACAATCTTTTCCTTTCCATTTCATCCTTGATATTCATTCTTTGACCTTCTTCTTCTATCACTCTTTTCGCCGTGGATTGCTCAGTGATTCTGTCCATTGATGAGAATCTGTTGCTATTGAGCATTTCTGAATTCAAGAATATAAGGTCTGAAGAAGTCACATTACTCCATCGATTCTTGAAGACAACATCTGAGACTATAATCCTATGATTGAGCCTGTGTAGTGCTTTCTGATTCTGATAATCTGTTTGTTGTTGATTATCAATATTGTTTTCTTGTATTGGCAATTCTTCTTCCTTGTTACCCTTTTCGGATTTCTTAAAGCTGCTTCCAATACTAAATCTTGAGGATCCATTCTCCTCTCTTTGAATATATAGTTCCAAATTTGATTCCTCTCTTTGAATATATAGTTCCAAATTTGATTCCTCTCTTTGTATATATAGTTCCAAATTTGATTCCCCTCTTAGCTCAGACAAGAACCTCAAACTCTCTGAAGAAGTAAGTAATGAAAGGTCTTGAGCACTGACCTTATGCCTGCAAAGTGGACAGGTTGAATGGTTTTCCAGCCACTTATCAATACAGTCAATATGAAAGGCATGTTTGCACTTTGGCAGCAATCTAAGGATTTCAATATCTTCAAATTTTGATAAGCAAACAGCACATTCAAGCCCTTGTTTGGACCCTCTGATAAAAGAGAACCTGAAAAAAGGGAGTGATTCCACCACAGTTTTATCGATACCTGAAGGTACTGATCGAACAAGTCCATCTTGAATATGCATAATATTGGTGCTGTTATGAACAGAAGAAGATGCCCTATGACAGAACTTGGCATAGAGGAGAAGAAGAAAAGTTAGTGAAAACATGATGGAGAGGACACCAATAACCACAGCAAGACTTGGCTGGAAACTGCTAACTACATCTTCTGATGGAGGGACTTCAGCTTTAACACTAAATAATCCAAACGAAAGGACTGCTAAGAATAATAGCATACTTGATTGATTCATGAGAATCCAAGATGCTGCAGCCAGAGAATACATCTGCATCTGCTTTTGTTTTGTGTATATAACAAGGCTATGAAATTATAAAGGCTAGTTTGACATTGGTTTTGTTGCGTCTGAATGTCTTTATATTTTTGGCAAGTGGATTGTTCTGGTTTATCTCTCTTGTTGGTATATATCTTCATGGATTGTTCATGTGCATCTCTTTATTTGTTGGGGGAAGGGGTTGGGGGTGGGTGGAGGTGGGACGTGGTGAGGTATACTGGATGTTTTAAAATTGGGAATTATGCTAACTCATATGGAGATGTGGGATGGCTTAAACATGAACACATATCTTCTGACTAGGGGGCTGAATAAAATAGTAACTTTTACCTACTCAATTTTAAAAGGTTGTACAGCCTCTGACGCAAGGACTTCGTCTGAGTCGTTGCCAGAGCAGATCTTCTGACAATATTGTTTTCTAAGGGTCATTTGGTACTCTGGATGAGCGGGATAAAGTGGATAATAAATTTATACTATGTTAGGTTTACGGTATAATTTTATTCCGGTATAAATTTATATTGTCAACCTAATATATTATAAATTGAGTCCCAGACTTAATCTTTGATATCTCATTTTATCTCATCTTATCCCATAAAACTTAGTACTCCCTCTGTTTCAATTTAGATGACACACTTTCCTTATTAGTCCGTTCCAAAAAAGAATGACACATTTTTACAATTGAAAATAATTCAATTTTAAATTCTTCATTTTACTCATTTTACCCTTAATGAGAAGCTTTTATAACCACACAAATATCATGGCCCCACAAAGCCTTTACCCCTTAAACTTTTGAGACCACAAGTTTCAAAAATCTTCTTTTTCACTTAAACACCATGCCAAGTCAAACTGCCTTATCTAAATTGAAACGAAGAAAATGTTATTTTATCTTACCACGCAGGTGGGATAATTGGTCTAGGAATTATAATTCCAGAACTATAATCCCGGAATAATGTCCGCGTAACGACCCCTAAAGGTATTTGGTATCAAGAACTTACTGGTACTACTAATCCAATGTCAGTGCTAGGTAAACCCACTAAAGAGATAAAACAGTTCTTATCAAGAAATTCTTCATTCAGAAAGAAATTTGGATAATATTACTGTTTACCCGTAAAATGGTACAGTTAAATTTTTTATGTAGTTTATAGACAAGCGAACTGATTTTATCCGAAAATGGTAAATAAACAAGATTAAAAGTAAGACATAGCGGTTAAAACTGAAGAAGATGACAAGCCTAGCTCCGAGAACAGCGTCTCCGAGGACAGAAATGAGAACAATATAAAAGAGCAAATAAAGTTGTTTAATTGAGAGCGAAAATGGAATACAACATATGTTTTGCCCAGAATTTCTTGTCCTTACAACGGCTGCAGGGCCTGCTCTTTATAGTTATCCCTAGGGAAACAAGATCCTAGTATCAAGCCCTACTTAAATGATAATAAAGGAGCCATTGATGAATATGTAACGACATGCCATGAATGCAAATATTCTCTGCAACGGCTGCCCATTTAATGTTAGGGAATATTCTTCATTGAATGCTACCCGATGACAAATATTCGATCGGCTCCCGTTGACCATACTCCCTCCGGGTTTACCCAATGTCAATTGAAGTTTTTGTTCTCGGTATTGGTTATTACTTGATTCGTCTTTCACCCGCCTTAGGTTCCACGTGTCATGCTATCATTTGATCATTTATTATAAATCAATTTTACCATATACAGATAGTTCCCCTACTTTCTGGTGATATATCTTTATGTTACCGGGAAGTTGGTGAAGATCCCTTTCTTGGCGGGAAATCTCCTGAACAGTCTCTAACACTTGAAAGGACGTATGTCTTCTCGCATTTAATACCCCGACATGTGTTGTCCCACGAGGAAATTATGACCACGATTTTTGCAGTCTATATCTTTACTTATACTCATCATTTTACCTCTTTTCACTTCCAAAATTTTCATAAGTTCATCATCTTCTCTGCACTCAACCTCCTCCTGCTTAGAAAACTTTCATCTTCTCTAACTTTCTCTAAAAATGTTACTACCTTTTTACTACCATGGCTTCTTCTACTGAATCATTTAGAAACTCGGGTCTTCTCTTCGGTGGAGGCCCGAAGAGAAACAAAGACAAAATGCTAATGTTGATTCTAAGCCTCCCACTGTAAACACCATCATACCCAAATACCTGAGTACCGCCAATGACTTCCAGGAGAAGCTTCAATCCGCCTCTCCACGGACTTGGGCCGTTAGCAGATACCCTTCCTCTATTCGCCCTTCCAGTATTCCTGTTGTGAAGGAGAACTGCAACTGCCCAGACCTTGACATCCTTGCTCCCGATATGATAGAGCGGGTTACCTTCACCAAGAAAGGTTTTATGTATGTCTATACATATCCCTTCACCTTGGGTCCGTTTTCTTTGGGGACAAGTAAAGGGCTCGATCCCATAATTTTGGAGTTTTGCCACCAGTACTAGGTCTCCTTGGCATAAGTAGGCTCATCTATATGGCGAACGGTGGCTTGCCTATGCTAGTTATGCACGGAGACTAGGAAAACCCTAACCCTGGCACACATGATGAATCTCTACTGTCCCAAAAGTTTTTGTTGGGGAGTAATTAATTTCAGCAAATGTTGCCACCACGCCCTTCTCACCAGCGTGGATGGTGACAGTGATTGTGGATGGATGAAGACGTTTGTCATCATCGCTACCAGGGATATCATCCCGACCACATTCCATCTTTTCCTGAATCATGGAACCATTTTTGTAAGTTTGCAATTTATTCATCTCTTTCCTTCGTATAAAGACCGTTTTCTGTTATTGTTGACCTCTTTTTTTTCCGTTGTTTAAGCTACCCAGTGGGAACCACCAAGGGTTCAAGGCCTGGACCAGTGGGTTTAGAAAATTCTGGATATTACAACACCAGAAACCTGTCGGTGGAAGGAAATGGCCCCCTATGGGTGAAAATTCAAGAACCATGGCAAACCGAGTCCTTCTTCCTTTTGTTTTTGTATGAACATAGGTAACTTTGCTAATTCCATGTTTTGCTTGATTCAGGACTGCCGCAGGGTTTATCACCTGCCCCAAGGTTGATATTTTGGCTGACCCCGCGGAGGCCGCGAGAGTGCTATAAAGTGCCCTTGCTCAAAGCAGTGAACGCGGACCTGCTTCCGGTGAAGGTGCTTCCTCTCAGAGTCCCCAGCTAGAGAACAAGCAACCAAAAAGACGATGTTCTTCCTCGGCTGGGGCTCAAAAGAAGAAAACAAATACATCAGCCACTAATCCGACCACGATGGTCATTGTGGAAGATGGAGAAGCTAGTGATGAAGTGGATCCCCTTTAAAGGAAAAGAATATCTTCATCAGCTCAAACGGAGGCTCAGCTAGGGGAGCTTAAAACCCTGACCATAGAGGAGGTTCAAGCACTTTGGGGAGAGATGGATCTGGTAGATAATGTTGATTCCCCCTATCATGTCCCCGTTGCTGTTTCTAGTCCAAGGAGCTCGGATCCTGGGCCTCTTCTGCCTTCGAACACAAAGCAACCAATAATCAGTGCTACTCCCGCCGCAGTTTCTTCTCAACCTTCAACGCCAACAACTTCATGCCCCTCAACACCAGCTGTACCTTTGCCACCATAACCTACTGCATCTCCTCCACCGAAAACTGACGCTAGAGAGGAGGGTGCTTCTCCTCCCCGATCTCCCGACCATGGGAATTTGGGGAATAATTACTCACCCCTTTCCCCATATCCCCGATCAAGGAGGAGTGCTACTCTTTCGGTTTTGAAGGAATGTCATCTGCTATCCATGCCGGTTGAGCTTGCCAACTATCTGAAGTCGTTGGCTTTAGAGAAAGATAAGAAGAAAATACGCCCCCTTTCGGGGGAGTGTTTCTTGAAAACTGCAATGCATAATGTGGCAACGCTACTGTACTTGCTTTCTTATCATTTGTTTTCTATTTTTCTGCTGTAACGGGATTTCTAACCTTGATATTCTTTTTACAAGATAACTTCTTTGCTTCCGAGGGCCTGCAGAAATTAATTCTCAATAAGCAAGGACTTGCCTCCGAATGAGATCAATTGTTGGCCGAAAGGAACCAACTTGTTGCGTGCCTCCCCGTGTTGGAGGCAAAAGCTGCTGAGGCAGGCGAGCTTGAGGCCCGGCTGCAGCAAAGCGAATAGGAAGTGATGGCCCACAGCCAAGAAGCAACTCAGTTACATGCAAGTTTCAAGAAGCTAAGGCTAAGTGGGCTGAGCTCCAAGATGTTGTGCTTGCTGCTGCGGCGCGTGAGTCTGCCTCCGAGGAATAAGTGAATAACTTGAAGGCAGTCTTGAGCTCAAAAATCGAGGAGGCCAATGTCGCCGAGGAGAAGAGGGCCAGGATGGAGGAGAGATTCAAGAAGATCTTGGAGCAAAACCGGATTCATCTATCTATAACCCGTGATCTTGATTCTAGTCTCGATGCCTTGAGATCCGAAAGGGATGGCCTTCAGACTGAGGTTGACGGACTTAAGGCAAAGCTCCAGTACCAAGGGGATTCCCTTGTATTTGGTAAATGTATGCTATGTATCATATGAAGAGAAAAACCTTGGAAGAGGCCAAAGCGGACATCGTTGATATTGATGATCGCATCGCCAAGGCCCAAAAACTGGAGTTAACTGCTCGAGAATGTCTCCCTGCTCGACCCACTGCAACTGACTCTTCGAGCACCAGTTCTGAGTTTTCGGGAACCGTGGAAAAAAATGAAGAGAATGATTATGAAGGTCCAGACTCTGAACCGGTAGCTGATCCGCCCTCTTCTACCGGGGGGACGCAGATGCCTCTCTCCACCCAGGCTCCGACGACGATAATGCTTAGCTCCTTTTTTTTGTTGTTTTCCTTTTCTTCTTCTTTTTTTGTACTTTGTAATTATGACAAACGTTTCATCGAGTTTTTCACTTTTTATAAATAAAGAAGAACTTTCTTTCAAGTGTCGTGTAAGATACATTTTCTTTGCATTGAAGTAGTTAAAGCTTTGGGCATACTTTCATCCGATAGCTTCTGATTTCGGGCATAAATTATTCCAGAATCAACCATTTACTATGAGGGTTTCATAAGAGAGGGCCCTCTTATGTTTAGGTGCTCATGAAGAGGACGTCTCCTGTTCACTCCGGCACAAGCATTTGAAGTTTTTTGTTAACTTTCAAATGATAAAATCAACTCATCGTTTGGACAAGAAACAAAATAAAAATAAAAGGACTTTATTTTAGTCCTTCTATATTTAA